TGGTTGCAGAAGATAATTAATGAAAATTATAACCGTTGTTGTTATATTTTACTTTTAATAATAAGGATAAGATATGTCTCTAAATCCTTCAATTCATGCTGACTATCACTGTCAAACTCAACAAAGATATTTTGCCAGTCCATTAATGTATGACTTTACCATGATGTGCGTATAAGCCGAATTTTTAGTTTTTTCAGAATTATGTCTGTGCGAATATTTTCAATAATACAAATCATATAAATAAAATTGAATATTGCCTTTTATATTTATTAGTATATTATCTCATATTGGCGGTTATGTGAAGACGTCCCGGTCAAAGTGGCACACTCATCTGTTGGCATTTCTGTTTAAATATCTCAGTTACATTCCAAAACCTATCATCTCACACAGGATGTAATAAATTGGGTAGGGAAGGCCAGTCTTTTCAAAATAGTAACTCTTCACATATTGTTACACATTAATAATGGTTTCTTGTACTAGGCCTTGTTTGAAGCGAAAAAATTTCTTTGATGTTGCGAAAAAAAATTCTGGCCTCCTAGTATTTTCTTCGTTTCTAATCATCAGAAATTAAAATTTCAGAAGCAAAAGTATGAGCGATCTGAATGAAGAAAAGAAAGAAGAAGAAGCACATCGACATCAAATTAATGAAAGATACGGAGAAATGGAAAAATTAAAAGTTTTACTCAAAGAAGAGGAAGACACGTGGACTTCAGTGAGTAATTATACGATTTATTTAGTTTAGTTGGGGTTCCGCGTGAATAGCTTCTTATCCTTCCTCTATGCATTCAGCACTAATGCAGCCTTTCCAAACCAGGGAAGAATATTGATGTTTTCGGGGAGGGAATTTTATTTTGGATTTTGTGTTGTTTTAATATTGTTTAATATTACTGTTTTTAAACAAATGCCAGATTGCGACTTGTGCTTAACACAAGCTTAGGTCAATTAAAGGTCGCACTAACAACGGAAGTTTAGTTTGTATGTATAACATGGCAGGAATAAAGAGTTCCAAAAGACCCAAAGGGGGAAATTTATTGAAAAATTTCGTGAACCACTGCGCTAGGGGACTTATATGATTATAATTACAGTATGCAAGGGTGACGTGGCAAGAATGAGATAACTGTTGTTATTGTTACAGTATTTTATGAGGTTATTTCGTTCATGTTCACTTTATAATTTTGTTTATGGGAGCTTATCGATATGTGCGATTTCATTATACTATCAAATTGTTCTTTATTAATAACTGTCACTAGAGCATGGAGATGTCCAAAAACCAAATATTTCAAATAATATTTTTGAAAAGGGAATATCGAATATGTTTTGTAAAATGAATTATATTCAACAGTACTTTACACAAACTTAATGATTATAAGATTCTGATTGTGTTCGAATATTCATTTCATTTTGGCCACACACTGCTTTATCATATTATTTCATAATTGGTATGATCATTGGTAGGCTATTGTAAAAAATGGGTACTCCGTAGTATGTGAACCAAGATGGCGGACACCGGAACGTAGTATCTGTACCAGGTTAGGGTTAGGCCATAATTTCAGGAACAAATACTAGTCACTTGGCTAGTCACCGAATTCATAATAGAACTAAAATACGGAAAAAATGGGATTAAATTATGAAATTGCCTAACCATAACCACACATACTACGTTCCGGTGTCCGCCATCTTGGTTCACATACTTCGGAAATACCAAAAAATGCTGCTTTAAAACATTACATATATCCTACCTATATTTTGTATGTATTCTATATTCTATTCTAAAACAAATCATTGCATGTTTCATGGATTCATAACCGATATGGTTTAAAACAGTTTGTCACACACACATGATATATGTTTTCTTCACCAAAATCGGAATCTATGATTTGATGCTACCATAATTCCTATTGACAAAAAAAATTTAAAAATTTTCTCTCTATGATATAGTGATTCATATTTTTACTATAACAATCATTGAGTCAGTTGTCAAACAGTCCAGTTCGGGATTGATTTGAATGGAAAGCCCCTCTATAAAATTGAGTAAACAGCTTCGCAGAATGACAAAGCTTCATTTGTGTGGTCTCGGTCTGCTATGTATAAATGTCACGCAGAGCTTATTAAAAAACGTTTTCTTATTCTGTATATTGTTAAATTGGATTACCCAGCAACATTTTGCATACGATTCATTTTTTGAACCATGCTCTATACTAGACATGGGCAAAGTACGGCCCGTGGGCCAAATCCGGCACGTTGGTTAATTCAATCTGGCCCGCCTGATGCTGCCACAATCAAACTGAAACCAAATTTTGATGTTTTAGCTAAAGTTAGCTCAAGGAATTTGTTGGCATTGTGGTTACATTTAGTTTTGACTCGAAGCATATTGTTTTCCACCTTTGCATTGTGACACTGTAAATATTGTTCATAAAATGATATTTCTGTCACACTCGCTTGGCCCACCAGTCCAGATGGGCAAAATGTTTGGCCCCTGGTTCAAAAACGTCCACCACGGCTCTAAACTAATAAGTATAATAAACACCTACTATTCACAGAAGGGTTGAGTATTTCTGCTTCAGCACTGTCTGCCAAGTTTAATAAACTCCAGATGAAAAAATAATTTGCTCTGATAATGGTTTTTCACATATTGCAAAGCAGAGATAGTCAAAACCAAATATTGTATTATTCCGCAGACATTCCAAAAAAATATTTTCGAATATGAAATATTGAATACATACAAGTTGGGGGCAGTTTCATGTGGGGAATTACTTTAATCACTATATCCTCATGTTGATTACATTTAAAACAACATAAATATAAAGGTCATTGGTGTCTCTGTGTTGTTCGTTACCAGTTGAAGTATTGTATGTTTTGATCTCCTTATCTGGCGTCTTAAAATTCTTAGATTTTGAATAAAAATGTTCTTAAGTTATTCTAAATTCAAAAATTTACTATATCAAATATAATGAATTTCGAATATATTTGATTATTCGTTTTATTTTGGACATCCCTGATTTTAGATTTTTAATCAGAATAACTTACTGTAATAATAAATTGCGGAATCGGCAAAGTCAACACTAAACAATGTAGGTGACTATCGTCATCTTGACATATTTTCCAGATGGAGCTGACGTAATTCCTTAACTAAGTCAACACACAAATAGCTTTCTTCTAAAGTCATGCATCAATTGCCTTGTGGAATTTGTTTATTTTATCAACATTTAAGAAGTAATAAATGTGATGTTGTGTGGATGAATTTTCAACTATCATTGATGGATAACTGTGTTTTGTATAAACATTCCATTTGGAAGTTTATTATTTTTTGATTTCACACACTGACTTTGACTTTGGACAGCTGAAATATTACAAAATTAAGATTGGGAAAGTGCAACGCGAGTTCCGTATTTGTGTTAGTGTACTCATATTATGCACCTACTCTTGACTTTTGTCGGGCGAAATGAAATTTATAAAAGTTTGATGCCAGAACGAACGTCCTCCTATAAGCATTCTTATTTATGTTGAATAATTCAAAATTTAACAATCTGCGATGCGATAGAGATGTACAGGGTGGCCTCATAAAAAAGAACCCATAAATGTCCTATTTACTTCTACTATAATGAAGACAATTTATTTAACACTTGAACTTCTGTTTGTGTACGATGTATACAAAATTTGCAGTACTTCAGGATACTTTGCTCAAAATTTATGTTTTTCTCTAGAATAGGCTATGTTTCAAATGACCTGCATTCTGTTTGCACATCACCCTGTATATAGCCGTTTTGAGAGAAATTACCAATATCTAAATTCCAATATTGAAGTGGCACTTATTCATGACGTCGTCCTAGAATTATTTATATAGAACTTTCAAATTTGAACACAACAGTTCATTTCTCTATACCCAAACATATAATCCATTTCTTGAGCATTCAAAATATATTTAAATCACTATTCAATTCTGGATTGATCTTTTTTTCATACAACTGTAATATGTCTTTCACTCTGAACAAGGCTTTGAACAAGCGGTCACAAGAAGCTTTCTGGAATAGACTGAATGGTTTGAGTTCATTATTGCCTACTCAATTATTACACTTAGTGTGAATTGATGGCATGAGGTTGAACCCTGTGATGTCAGAAATTTTCACTTTGGAAAATTTTTGCAATTTTTCGCTCAAAATTTTTTAACTTGAGCTCAGCTTATCAATAGCTAAATAATTACCAATAATGATAAATCGTTTGCACCCTATTTATTAAACTTTTTTTGGTGCATTAGAAGCAGTACTTCAGTGTATCCTCATATTCAATATTGTATCAATAACTCCAAGAGGGAAGTTGGTTTGTGTTTCTCATTTCAAACTACACTTCATCCCTTTTTTAATTTCACTTTTTATTTTTAAGAAACTGCAAAGTTGGAAATCTAGAAGACGGAGCGTAACAGAGGATGCAAGAAAAAGAAAAGAAGAAAGAGATTCTATTGAGAAAGAACTGGAACACAAAGCTGCCAAAAAGAAGACGAAGACTTATAAAGAAATTGTTGAAGACAAGTACGATGCTTTCTTCAAGAGTTTGCCAAGACTCCATATCTAAATATAAATTTGAAATTTTTTGATTCAATAATAAAGTAGATTCATCTATTTTACAGCAAAATCGAATTTGCAGAATTTTGATTGAGAAATTGGCATGTTTCAGAATAAAAAAACAGTGATTTCTAATTAATTGAATAGGCCTATTCATTGAATTCCAACTTTTACTGCAATACTCCGTTGAAATTAGGGTTGTCTGAAAATTTCAGTTTTATTGAAATCCGAAATTAATCAATATTAAAAATTTGTGTGTGTTATTATAATTAGTAAATATATAATTCTAAATCCTTTTTATAGTAAAATATACCATAATAAAATAAAGTTGTAATCAATGTTAAATTTTTTGAAGATATTACAGTAAAGTGGTGTCAACGGGGTTTGAACCCATGTAGCTGAATAAACCAGAAGTAAAAACCTTGATATTTTTGCTTCTCAGAATGAAAAGAGATAAAGAGCTTGCTCAATTAAACGACCACGACGAATATGAGTTCGTAAGTCCTAGATCATCTACTGTTACGAGTCCGACCAACTCTAGCAGTTATACGTTCGAAGGGTTAGTAAGAGATGTACAAATCAGGGAAAAGGAGAATAAAACCGCAGCAACTAAGCCATCAAATGTTTATTCATCAAGGGAAGAAGCGCCAAAAACAAACGGCTCTCAAGTACAATACAAATACACGACCAAAGTGACTGCTGTCATAAATAACACCCAAGCAGAAAACAAACACGCTTCTTACGAAGCACAGCCTCAAATGAGAAGCACTATAACTTACGAGAGAGTTCCAAACAAAAGCCAAGACAATAGCGATGTCAGGAGTACAAGTTGTCTTTCCTTCATCGAAATCCCAAACACTGCCTCGCGGCGGTATCTACAACTCCTACGATCCAAGCGATAGTGGCTCAGTCCAGAGAGGACCAAAACCGCCCAAAGGTCTTCGTATGAAATGATTCCCCAATCAAAACCTGTTCAGAGAGAAACTCGTAGTAATGTGCCTAGTGTTCTAATGAGAACTAAAATCCAAATGCGCGGAAGTAAGCACTTTTCATTATTTTAATATCTTTCTTTATTTAATGTTATATTCTGGACAATGCTACAGTCAAGCAACCACTAAAATGGCTGGATTTTTTTTTCAATTTCTTGCAAAACTGTTATTGCGTATTGATTACCATTTTTAACATTGACATTAACATAAGTTTGCTTCTGTTGTGCTTGTTATTTGGCGTATTGTAGTTTGAAAATTAGTTGAATTTTAACGCATGCATGGTGCTATTGCAATACTTTTTCACACACATTTTGAAAAGTTATTCGGTATTCAAATTAGTCTTGTTGAAATCATACAGGACAAAATAATGGGATAAATATGTCATTTACATATTTGCTGAGTGCCATTTTGATCTGGATATTGTATTTCCCAAATTTATTTTTATCTGGGTTCCTGTGTCGTAAATTGGCATTGCGCTGTACTCTTAATGTATAACCAATGAGCTTCAGTTCAATGAAACAAAACTAATTAATGATAACTATTCTCTCTTCATGATTCATTTATAATCGTTTCCGGGTGGAACAGTTAAAGCATGCGACTTCACTGTGTTAGCATCGCAGATGAAACAAGTCGTCGATGATCATTGTTTAATATTTTTTTTGTATTTTCTAGGGAACGACCAAAATCAGCACACGAGTTGCCTACCGGGAGTAGCAGTACTTTACCCAGGAATTATCACGAGTATTCAGCTCCGAAACCTTTTACTCCTGGTGCTAGTTCTTTTACCAAGTATCGCAAGACAAATTTTGCAAACCGTAGAAGCATGTGGGAAAATATGAGCAAACCGGAAACAGACGAACCTCCGAGTTCTGCGGCTGAGAAATTTCAACCTGCTCACAGGACGAAGCTCCTCTAGCGAACTTCTCATCACTAGGAGATCCCAGGATCAGTCTGTGACTTCGGAATATGCAGCACCAAAACAAAATCAAACAAACAAAGACTCTAATTTAAACAGGAAGCATATAAATCCAGAGATATACCAGAAATTTACTTCGTCTGTTCTGCTCCTACTAATACCGGTAAAACAGCTCATCCCGCCAAAGTTCCTCTAGTATCAAAGGCCCAATTCACGTCATCCACTCGAAAATTTACAAAGTCAGCATCACTCGATTTATCTGAGCAAGAGGGAAGTCAAACTGCCACTTTATCATTGAGTGGATTGGTGAGAATTTTTAATTTCAAAAGAATATTTGGTTATTTGATACACGCATATATTATATCGTTTTGCTAAGTTAGTATCAATCCTGTTCAGGTTTTTGTAAAAAAATTGCTTTTTCATAACTAATGGGGCAATAGATGTTCAAATTTTCAGTTCTCGAAGATAGAAGAGGTCGCAAGAAGGTTATTCCTTTCAATTTATTTCAAATTATCCCCAAATCCCAAGGACCCAATATTTCTCCTTAAATTTCCTGGTTTTTCATACTTTCCAGGCAAGCCTTGATGGTTAGGCAAACTTGTAGCACTTTAGTGCGAAAGCACAGTAGTGATCGAAAGCCTTTGCTCGTAGAGCAAAAATAATGTGACGAAGTCTGTTAAGAGATAGCGTTAGAATTACCATTTCTCAGAAAAGTGGCGGACCAATCGGGACGAAATTTGGCATGAAGCGGGAGGTAGTTACCAAACGAACACAGAAAATTTTTGGGAGCGATCGGGCCAAAGGAAGTGGGCCAAAACGGGATTTTAGTGGCCCGGAGCTGCTTATTGGTCAATCAGCTGTCAGTCAAGTCACGCAAGAGTGAGTTTGGGGTTTAGAGGCCGTTTGCCTCTGTTTCCGGGGCCAGAAAGTGTTTGCCCGAGTATTGGGAATTTTTCCAAGTATTTTTGGCGGTGGGGGCTGTGCCCCCACGCCTCTGTGGTGAGAAAACCCGTGCAAAGCCACGCCCACTTAGGTTCTATTGTTTTTAGGCAATTCTGAGGCATGTGAATGGGATTTTGGGCAAAGTATTGCCTAATTCTCGAAGAATATAACTAATTGTAATTTTCTTTACCCAATAATCGGTGCTTCCCCCTCCCAATCGCCCTCCAGTGGCGTAAGAAGGTTGCGTACCTAAAATTGAAGCTATCGAGAAATAAAATAGATGGGCATGGTTGGAAAATTTGGTTTAACAGTTTTTTGAAGAAATTTTTTTTCTCCTACTCCCCAGTCACGCTTTAGTGATTTTGGCTTATTGTAGGCTTCTGAAGGGACTTATTAAGAAAGTAAAGGCATGGGCATGTTTAGAAAAATTATTTGAAGCCATTTTAGAAGAAATTTTTCTTCTCCAGTACCTCAGTCACGCTCCAGTGATTTTACGTTATATCTTAAGAATGGTAAAAGGTAGAGGTGCCATATTTGGGTCTTACAAGGTAGTTGAGGTCTAGTTTGTGTCAAAAAAATTTCGTCACGGTTGAGTGATCACGGACTTTAAAATTGGAAACATTCGACTCCGGTTAGGGGTGATCAGTTTATTACGTGGTATTTGAACTTCTAAATGGACTAGAGGTGTCGGGGGCAGAGCGCCGGACGAATTTCAGCCATTCGTCCGGCGCAACGACCCGGGTCCTTCAACAAACTTCAAACAAACATCTGCTTCTTAATTTACTAAAAATATTTCCATACATTTCCCCTCGCGGGTAGCGTAGCGACCTCCCCTGGATGGTCAGGCAACCTGAGAGCACTGAAAGTGCGTATGCACAGTATAGATCAGAATTCGTTGCACGAAAGACTAAAGCTGGAAGTACATTAACAGCCGTCGCTGGTAAAAACCATTTCCCAGAAAACTGGCGGGCCAATCGGGACGAAACTTGGCATGTAGCGGGAGGTAGTTACCAAACAAACACAGAAAATTTTTGGGAGCGATCGGGCCAAAGGAAGTGGGCCAAAACGGGATTTTAGTGGCCCGGAGCTGCTGATTGGTCAATCGGCTGTCCATCAAGTCACGCAAGAGTGAGTTTGGGGTTTAGAGGCCGTTCAGCTCTGTTTCCGGGGCCAAAAAGCGTTTGCCCGGGTATTGGGACTTTTTCCAAGTATAATTGGGGGTGGGGGCAGTGCCACCACCCCCCCAGTGGTGAGAAAACGTGTGGAAAGCCACGCCCACTTAGGTAATATGGTTTGTGGGCGATTAGGAGCACTTGGAATCGGTTTTCGGGCAAAGTGATGCCTAAATATCAAAGGGACTAATTAATAGAATATATAACCACCCGAACTTTGGGGATTCCCCTTCCACGTAACGGTCCAGTGAGTTCGGAATGTTGCGCTTAAGATTTGAGATATTGAGAAAAAAAAATACATAGGTAGGTTGAGAAAATTTAGTTTAATACTTTTTTAAGAAAATTTTTTTGCTCCCATGTCTCCGTCACGGTCTAGTGATTTTGGCCTTTTGCCGGCTTCTGGAAGGTCTTATCAATAATCTAAAGGCATGGGCATGATCAGAAAAATTATTCCAATCACGTATCAGCGGAATTTTTTTTCTAGTAGCCTTCAGTCACGGTCCAGTGATTTTCTGCCATATCTCGAGAACGGTAATAGATGGGGGTCTCATATTTGGGGTGTACAAGGTAGTTGGAGTGAAGTTTATGCCTAAAAAAATTTCGTCACGGTCGAGTGATCACGGACCTTAAAATTGATAAAAATCAACATCCATCGAGAGCGATCAGTTTATGACGTGTTATTTAAACTACTTAATGAACTAAACTGGCTGGGGGCTACGCGCCGGACGAATTTCCGCCATTCGTCCGGCGCAACGACCCTGGTGCATCCAACAAACTCATAATGAAACATCCGCTCTTTTATACTCAAATCTCTTTCTTACATTTCCCCTCGCGGGTAGCGAAGCGACCGACCCTGGATGTTGCAGCACGGTTTGTCAAACCCTCCGCGCCGTGAGGCGCGTACATGCGATCGTTTTCGGTGCACGTGTAACGTGCGTAGTGTGGTTGGGTTGTAACTTTACCGAGAGGGGTGCAGCGAGCATTATGGAGATAACCGCAAGTCGTAGAGACGCGCCCGAGGTGTCTAAAGAGAGCTGACGGTCCCCCCAGAAACAGAGAAATTTTTCAGAACGATCCCGCCACGGGAAGGGCCCGAAAAACGGCCCGAAAGCCAAAAAGTGCCTTTCTCCTTTCATACGTCGGTCACATGACGTTCCATATAAGGTAATCCTTTGATTTCTTGCCGTTTCCCGGGGTTACCGGGCCGCGCAAGGCGATAGGGACCTTGCTAAAATTATTTTGAATATTTTCAAGGCGGGGGGGTTTCCCCTCCCCGCCCCAGATAAGAAGAAAGGGATTTCTTAGTTTTTAAAACCTGGCAACACCGTTTCGGCAGTCTGGTCTGTGTCGTTATCGGAAATAAGGGTTCCCGTGTAGGCAGAGGGCTCATACTTGGAAAACGTGTATAACTAAACTAATTAACCACTCAAAAAAAATCTGGGACTGATCCGGCCACCTTGTGGTCAAACGTTGAAATCGCTAAATTTCGGCTTCTGCGATAGATGGAGTCTTCAAAGTCGGTCAGTGGAAAGCTTTTGTGTTAATCTTTCTTAGTTTGAAGACTCTACCGCACCCGAGCTCCCACTAGTGGTCAAATCGCAAAAATCTATATCTCGAGTTCTGCGATAGATAGAGTCTTCAAACTCGGTCAGTGGAAAGCTTTGGTGGTACTCTTTCTTAGTTTGAAGTTTCTACCGCACACGTGCTCCCACTAGTGGTCAAATCGCAAAAATCTGAAAAGTGGTAATATGCCTGTAGATCGATTAAAGTTGGTAAACATTTCAAATTTGGGGGGCGTGCGCCGATCGAATTTCCGCTATTCGATCGGCGCGACTTACGGCGGTGATAGACACGCGAGTGCTACGTTTTTAAAAAAGCGTCGAGCGTTATAAATGTGCGCTTTAGCGCTTTTCCCTCTCGTTGGGAGGCCGAAGGCCGCACCTTTGACCACCACTGGATGGTTAGGCAACCTGGTAGCACTTTAGTGCGTATGCACAGTAATGGTCAAAAGACTTTGCGCGTAGGGCAAAAATAATGTGACGAAGTCTCTTGGCTAAGACCCATCGGGTTACCATTTCCCAGAAAACTGGCGGGCCGATTGGGACAAAACTTGGCATGTAGTAGGGGGCAGTTATCGAACTAACAAATAAAATTTTTCAGAACGATCGGGCCAAAGGAAGTGGGCCAAAACGGGCTTTTGGTGGCCCAAATTTAAGGTTGCGTGTCATTAATTATTTCAGGCTGTCAATCAAGTAACGCAAGAGTGATTTTGGGGTTTAGAAGCCGTTTACCTGCGTTTCCGGGGCCAAAAAGCGTTTGCCCGAGTATTGGGATTTTTTCCAAGTGTAATTGGGGGTGGGGGCACTGCCACCGCCCCCCCAGTGGTGAGAAAACGTGTGGAAAGCCACGCCCACTTAGGTAATATGGTTTTGGGGCTATTAGGAGCACTTGGAATTGGTTTTTGGGAAAAGTGATGCTTAAATCTCAAAGGGACTAATATATAGAATATTTCACCACCTGAATCTTGGGAAATCCCCCTCCCAATCGCCCTCCAGTGGCGTAAGAAGGTTGCGCACCTAAAAATGAAGCTATCGAGAAATAAAATAGATAGGTATGTTGGGAAAATTTAGTTTAATGCTTTTTTCATGAAATTTTTTTTCTCTCACTCCCCAGTCATGGTCTAGTGATTTTGGCTTATCGCAGGCCTCTGAAAGGACCTGTTGAGAAAGTAAAGGCATGGGCATGTTAAGAAAAATTATTTGAATCTATTTTGAAAGAAATTTTATTTCTCCATCTCCTCAGTCACGCTCCAGTGATTTCACCTTATATCTCGAGAATGGTAGAAGGGAGAGTTGCCATATTCGGGTCATACAAGGTAGTTGAGGTCTAGTTTATGTCAAAAAAAATTCGTCACGGTTGAGTGATCACGGACCTTAAAATTGGAAAAATTCGACTCCGGTTAGGGGTGATCAGTTTATTACAGGGTATTTGAACTTCTTAATGGACTAGAGTAGTCGGGGGCACAGCGCCGGACGAATTTCCGTCATTCGTCCGGCGCAACGACCCGGGTCCTCCAAAAAACTTCAAACAAACATATGCTTCTTAATTTACTAAAAATATTTCCATACATTTCCCCTCGCGGGTAGCGCAGCGACCTTCCCCTGGATGCTACCCCGCCACGTCTCGTGATGGGTGGCGATAGCCACAACAAAAATCAAAAGCCAGCGGCCAGAGATATTAATGGAAGGTCAATCACAGACTCCGATCCAACAGGGTATGTTACGGAGAACCGCAAGTCCTAGAGACAAGCGGGCGGTGTCAAAAGATAGCTGAGGGTCCCAATATACCAAAGAAAATTTTTCAGAAAAATCGGGCCAGAGGAAGTGGGCCAAATCGAGATTTTAGTGGCCCAAAAGTAAGGATGTGCGACATTGCCATTTCTAGGCTGTCAATCAGGTCACGCAAGAGTGATTTTGGGGTTTAGAAGCCGTTTAGCTGCGTTTCCGGGCCGGCAAACGGTTTGCCCGGGTATTGGGAATTTTTCCAAACGTGTTTGGGGGTGGGGGAAGTGCCCCCACCCCCCCAGTGACGAGTAAACGTGTAGAAAGCCACGCCCACTTAGGTAATATGGTTTTTGGGCGATTAGGAGCACTTGGAATCGGTTTTGGGGCAAAGTGATGTATAAATATGGAAGGGACTAATTAATAGAATATATTACCACCCGAACTTTGGGGATTCCCCTTCCCCGTAACGGTCCAGTGAGCTCGGAATGTTGCGCTTGAGATTTGAGATATTTAGAAAAAAAAATACATAGGTAGGTTGAGAAAGTTTAGTTTAATACTTTTTCCAAGGAATTTTTTTGCTCCCGTGCCTCCGTCACGGTCTAGTGATTTTGGCCTTTTGACGGCTAATGAAGGGTTTTATCGAGAATCTAAAGGCATGGGCATGATCAGAAAAATTATTCCAATCACGTATCAGCGGAATTTTTTTTCCCGTAGGCTTCAGTTACGGTCCAGTGATTTTAGGCCATATCTCGAGAACGGTGATAGATAGGGGTCTCATATTTGGGTTATAGAAGGTAGTTGGAGTGTAGTTTATGCCTATAAAATTTCGTCACGGTCGAGTGATCACGGACTTTGGAATTGATAAAAATAGACTCCCGTCCATACAGATAGTACTGTTTATGGTAGGGGGCGTCAATGGCGTCGGTCGGATCATGCCGCGATCCGTCCGACGCAACAGATGGCGGCCAGAGCGTCACGGACATACCCGGCTTGGGCCGAACCAACCATTTGTGCGCCCGCGGCCCCCCTCGTCGTGTGCCGCAGGCAGACGTTTTCTTCTGGATGCTACCCCGCCACGTCTCGTGATGGGTGGCGATAGCCACAACAAAAATCAAAAGCCAGCGGCCAGAGATATTAATGGAAGGTCAATCACAGACTCCGATCCAACAGGGTATGTTACGGAGAACCGCAAGTCCTAGAGACAAGCGGGCGGTGTCAAAAGATAGCTGAGGGTCCCTGTATACCAAAGAAAATTTTTCAGAAAAATCGGGCCAGAGGAAGTGGGCCAAAACGGCATTTTAGTGGCCCAAATGTAAGGATGTGCGACATTGCCATTTCTAGGCTGTCAATCAGATCACGCAAGAGTGATTTTGGGGTTTAGAAGCCGTTTAGCTGCGTTTCCGGGCCGGGAAACGGTTTGCCCGGGTATTGGGAATTTTTCCAAACATGTTTGGGGGTGGGGGAAGTGCCCCCACCCTCCCAGTGACGAGAAAACGTGTAGAAAGCCACGCCCACTTAGGTAATATGGTTTTGGGGCGATTAGGAGCACTTGGAATCGGTTTTCGGGCAAAGTGATGCATAAATATCGAAGGGACTAATTAATAGAATATATTACCACCCGAACTTTGGGGATTCCCCTTCCCCGTAACGGTCCAGTGAGTTCGGAATGTTGCGCTTAAGATTTGAGATATTGAGAGAAAAAAATACATAGGTAGGTTGAGAAAAATTAGTTTAATAGTTTTTTCGAGGCATTTTTTTCGTCCCATGCCTCCGTCACGGTCTAGTGATTTTGGCCTTTAGCCGGCTTCAGAGAGGTCTTATCAAGAATCTGGAGGCATGGGCATGATCGGAAAAATCATTCGAATCAGTTTTAGGTAGAATTTTTTTTCTCCCACATGTCAGTCATGCTCCAGTGATTTTAGGTCTTTTCTCGAGAATGGTAATAGATGGGGATGTAATATTTGGGCCATACAAGGTATATAAAGTGAAGATAATGACAAAAAAATTTCGTCACGGTTGAGTGAACACGGACCCTAAAATTGATAGAAATCGATTTCCATTAAGAGTGATCAGTTTATGACGTATTATTTAAACTACTTAATGGACTAAAGTGGCTGGGGGCAGTGCGCCGGACGAATTTCCGCCATTCGTCCGGCGCAACGACCCCGGTGCAACCATCAAATTCATTATATAACATCCGCTTTTTTATACTCGAATCTTTTCCTTACATTTCCCTCGCGGGTAGCGTAGCGACCTTCCCCTGGATGCCTTTTGGTACAATTTATTGATAGCATTTAGACAAATTTCTTTATCATTGCAGTGCCATATCAGCCATTTGATAACCTTCTCTTTGACAATTGCCCTCTTTATTTATTAGTAGGCTATCCATTCTGATTTTTTTGCCACAAAGAGTTTGAGGGATAGAGATAATAGTTTTTCCATTATTTTCTCTTTTCATAGTCCATGACATCACCTCGAGTCAACAAGGCTGCAACATTGCCAGTTCCAACTCGTCAACCAGAAGAGCGAGACCATTTGTTTGATGACATGAAAATTTGTATTAATCAACGACCCAGAAGCGAAAAGGGATTTGGATTTACTGTTCGAGGTGGCGATGATGGAAAACCAGTCATTGTCGATACCGTTAGTCCAGGTTAGCCATGCATGATTTTTTTGTCATGCAAAAAAGTAAATTTAATTTTCAAGTTGAACTTTTTACTTTGTAAATATGAGATCAATTAAAGCAATGTTGAAAAAAAGTTTTCTGTGACATGATTTTAAACATATTTGATATTCCATTTTGAATCAAATTTTGTATCTGATTCTATTTAGTCAAGATCCATCCAAATGATAAACTGTAATTAATAATTAAATGTGCAGTAGTATGGTATGTGCCATGTTTTTAAAAAATCAATGATTTTGAGGGAAGCATCGCAAAATTATAGTCAAACAAAATTGAGGGAGCTGTGACCCATATGAAATATACCAGCTCCTGACTTGGAAAAGCTGTTAACGTAAGGAGAATTAACGCTTTTGGTCGATGTTTGACACAATTCCGCTATGTCTTGAAATCCCCAATTGATGTTGGTACAAACCCCAAAGATTTAAAATTCTGAAACTTACATCCCTACTTGTGACTTTTAGAAACGAATGATTTCATTTACTCATAGCGTTCTAAATTAGAAAGTACTATCTTATTAACTGTACAGTGTAGGCTACATGTAAACTTTTGTTTCTGTATCAATTGAAATATGAAAGTAACTCCCATGCTAGATGGTTTATTTGCCGCAAGAGTGCCTATACCTTAATTGCGTGATAAATTTATCTTTCGTTGTGATTGTGAACTTCTGTTCTGTAGTGATTTAATATGGTTGGCTCTCTCTGTTCATATAATATATAAAATCTATAGATATTCATAACCTCCTGTATATTGAAGGTGGTGCCGCCGACATTTGCCATCTTTGTGTGAGTGACGAGATACTCGCTATAAATGAAGTTCCTCTCGCTGATTGTAAAACACAAGACGATATCGTACAATTGATTGTATCAAGTGTTATCACTGGAAATTTATCTCTGAATATTAGAAGATATGGGAAAGCCAAAAAAGGTAGGAATAGACTTTATTCTATTCTGGTCTCCTGTAAACAAAATTATTTTTTATTATGACATAACAATCATTTTTATGTTTGACGAATTGTCTGCCATGTCATTGCGTAATCAATCAACAGAGCTCTTGTCAGTCAGGAAAGGATAGGCCAATAAGTTATAACATTCCGATAATGTATGTAATTGTAAATATTTTCTCTGTACACAGTACACACAATGGTTTACGCACTGTAATTCAACTTTATGGATTAATATTGAACCAGAATTTTCGTTCGAATAAAATAATTGACACAGAATTTCAGAATTCAGGTGCTTAGGAGACCTGAATTGTTTCTTTTTTTTTATTTGCTTGAGTAATTTTGGCCCATTGTAATTTTTATACGATAGCCTACCTATTCAAGCCTTCCGTTCAACGCTTATCAGACTATTTGCTCTGAACAAGGCCCTGTATAAGCATCTGAAATCTAACGATGTGCAAGGACCGAAATCTTTCCACTACAGCATTGCCTAAACAATTTATCACACTCTGGGTGATCTAATGTGCATGAGATTTGAATTGAGATGTATAAACTGCAGTACTAACACAGTCAACTGAGTCGAGTTTACCACGTAAACCGCTACTTGGTCATTAATAGCACACACAAAATTTTTTATTAAGTTAAGTATCTGTAACTATAAAAATAAGGGATACAAAATTAGTAAGGATTGGTATAAAAACCAAACAATTCATAAAATAAACTGTTTGTTTTTAATATACCGATATGGCCTATTAGATTAATTGACATTGAATAATCAATGTGAATCACGGCAAAACATGTAAACAGTTTTTTTCTACTCTGAATACAAATATTTTTTTCAAAATAAGTTGTTTTGACTTCTCAGTTCACAATGAACTTGATAATGTACTTGTTTTTAGCAAGTTAAGCAACGAGTAATCTGATTCGAATTCCTTCAAGCAAATTAGAGTTAATCAGCCATTAACAAGGTGTTTTATCCTGGTAATGCATGCAATTTTCAATGCCTTAATGAACCTTTGATGTGTTTTACTTCTTTGTGGTACATTCCTGTGGTAAAGCACTTTACAAAGCCAACCACCGTTACCATGGTTTGTAAATTGAATAGGTAAACCTGGAAATTCCATTTCTGAGTGAAAAACTAAAATACCAGAATAGCTAATTTTTTTTGAACTGATATAAAGGCAAATGCAACTTGATTTTAATCATCATGCTCGGTTTGGAAAAACTTGATTTGAATATAATTGGGGAGATGCTTCTCAACTTTATTATTGGTAAAGCGGAATCCCAATGAAACATACCAGAGGGGCAGAGGCTTGAGGAATCTCTGTATGAGTGTTCTCCGAACTTTTTTTCATTCCGATCTTCTTGGCACAGCCAAATAATTCCGCTCAGGAACTAAAATTTAAAAAAGTTTAATTTAAAGCAGAGTAGCTTCATTTTAAAAACATTGGAATTTTTTATATAAATTACGGAAGGAAATTCTAAAACAACCTGCTGGGATGATACATCTCTAATTGGAGCCAGATCGGCTGTCAATGTCATCTGCAAATTGTTTATGCACACCCTGTGTGGCGTTAATTAATATTATCACATAATAATTATACATGGCCTTCATTGGGTATAACTGTTAATTTGTTTAATTAATAAATTATCATAATCATGGAATAGTTGAATCAGTACAAATTAATAACATACTCTTTCACTGAAACATTCCTCTCCTCTCTCTTCTATTGTACAAATATTTTTTGCAAAGTGCACTGCATCAGTATGTTTGCATTACATATATTTGTACTGCTGCAAATGTTTAGGGTTCTCATGGTTATGTAAACGAAATTCTTTTACATTTAATAGGCAATTATGTTAGTAATGCACACTCATGGTTTTTGAAACTGTTAAACTTTTACCACAATTTCTGTATTCAGTCATATTATGCTTTAGAAAAGTTCGCTAATCTGAATCCAATCACATGCTGAGTTGAACATGCTCATGACATGCTTTTGGGAAAAAAGTAGCCATGTTTGTTTTGTACGTTTTTATTTTTCTCATCAAACATTGCTAATTAGGTCAAGTGGAATACATGCAGTGTCACAAATATCATATTTACAGGCTAGATTGTTGACATGACACTTTACAAAATCAATTTGAGTAATCAAGCCATTGTTTCAACACAGTGACACTCAGTATTCATTGGGTAATTAATTGAGTAGGCTATGTTAAAACTGAAATCATTTAGTCCAGAGTAGTTTCATAATTTGGCAACTTATATCAGAGTCTTATTCTAGTCTTTTTCAAACTTTTTCCACCATAACCCACTTGCCACAGCCAAATTTTTCGTGACCCTCAGAAATAAAAATAATAGTGGAATTTAATAATACACAGAATATTGAAAAAAAATGATAAAATTGACAAAACTTTCAAAAAAGATTGATTTTTGGCTCCATTTCGGTGATGGTGAAACTTCGTACTGGCTTCAATTCTTTCAATCAATATTTTGTTTGATTTTGTCTGACCAAAGTCTGACTTGCCACTTGGCTTTCGATATTTGTATTCCACAAAGCATGTCTTCAATTGAGATTTCAAACGAGTCGTTGGCAAACTTAGTATTTGACTTGATGTTTACCAACCAGACTACCTTACATATGATATATTACCTGTGACGTTATTAATTTCACAAACACATTCGTAATGTGTTTAAAGAGCAGTTATTTTACTGTCCTGATTCGAATTTTCTTAGGCATTAAAATTAATGGAAATTAAACGCACAGAGCACAATTTTTCACTTATCATGCTTTAAATACATATTTACGAAATATTTTCGGATAACAAAGTATATTTATGACATGAAACAATTGTTGATTACTGAGCGATTATTATTCAGAAATTCCCATTTCCATATTAATTAATAATATGGCTGAATACCCCAAATTTCTGGAAATGCTAAGATGGCAGTTGTATTGGCATCATGTTTCTATAACTTTGTATTTATTCATAATAATCAAATACTTACAGTATTATGTTTCGTTTTTCAAATTATTTTACAATATTTGTCTGGTTTGTATTCAGACAGTTTTATATCAGTCTCGCTGTATAAATTATCTTTCTACTGGTATGTATTGTTTGCTTTTATTCTTGAACTCAGACATTTTTCTTGGCTCATGTTTAATTTAATCTTAGCATATGTTGTCTTTAAATAAGAAATTGTCGAATGCATTTTGGATTGGTTATATTCAACACTAAATTCCTTGTTTCAGGAATCTTATGGAATATTTCCAATTTAGTTAAGTGTGTGATTTTATTATTAAATACTTTAAATCTGGTGGTCAGATAAAGAAAAAACTTTGAAAATTTTTGAATATACAAAAAGAAAATCCATGGAATGATTTTTAATTCAACTATTAATTTTTGCTTCTTATGAATTCTATGATTTGTTAAAATTTTTCTGTTAAAACTGACCAATATTGTAATTAGTATGTTTATACCCGATATTTGGGAATTATTTTCGGTATTAAGTTTTGGTCTTTTCTATAACATATATATTTCTATAACAATTTCTATAACATATCAGATGTTGAATTCAAATTTTTTTTGAGGTATCACGAATAACATTGATTAAAATTTAATGCTCTAATGATAGGTTTTGCATAATGTATATCATATTATAAATAAACTCAAAAGTGACGAATAACCGGCTTATACACCTGGCTATAAACACTAGATTCAGCCTCCCAGCTGTGAACAGCTCACAGTGGTTACCCAACTCCTCGCAGGCATATTGGTTTGGTATGTTTTGTGTAACTGTTTCAATATTTGGATGTTTATATCGAGGATTATCATTACTCAATAATCTATCATTACGAATACATTTTGATACAATATTTTCGAATAAGGAATATTGAGTGTATTTTGAATTGGTCCACGTTCAACATGCAACACAAAGTATGCAATGCATATCAACGAGTTATGCAGGACACCTTCAGATAATTGGTGATTGTCTGTTTTTCATTTTAATAACGTAGATTCTGTGGGTTTTTGTGGTCATCTTACAATACTTCAATGGTACAAAATGATTTTAGAATTGAGAATATGGGAGATTCGAAATTAATTTTTTTGAATATTTTTTATCTTTTTTCCAACCTTTTGCTCCATTCAGTTTGTTCAATGCCATTCTTATTAATCAAAATGGAAAATTCTTTGAACAAAATTTTGAAATGTCCCTAAAACAGGAAATCCATATTTTCGAAAAAAATAGGAAAGTTTTGTTTTTAACATTTTGATTCTTCAATTTTATCTGTCAAAACAGTGGATAATTTTGAGGGCTTTATTAACCCAAAAAAGCGAAACTTGAAAAAAGAACTTTAATAAGAACTTTAAGAAAAAGATAAAAACATTTTTGACTTTTAAACATTCCAACTTTTCATTGACATGTTACTTTGGTAAATATGGATTCAAAATTTGATTTGAAACCCATTTTTTTCTTCGTTTTTTTTTTCAATAAATATTTTTTCAAAATTTCAGCATTCATGCTTTTGTCTTGAAATGGTCGAATTTTGAACATAATAAATTTTAAAGAAATAGTGTACTATATTCATGCATAATATAACCCCTAAAGTGAGTCATATGTTTTGAACCAAGAATCGTTGACATTTCATGATGAAAATTCCCATTGTGTACTGAGGGCAAACATTACTCTGTAGACCAGCTTAGCACAAAATTATGTCAACAAGGTAAAAGTTTTCAAGGGGTTTTGAAATATATTCAATCAAGTATGATGCGTTAATAAACCTATCATAATGACTGAATTACTATACACCCCATGCTATATTGTTTATAGATTGTAAAGCAGTTCTATACAATAGCAAAGCCGCGACTATTTCCAATGTTAAGCAAAGTAATGGCCACTTGATAAAGTGAAGTGTCCTACACTTTTTGTAGTTTGTTCGCAGCGTCAAGTGGTGAAAACGACATGGCGGTATTCGTGGCATTTTGAAATCCACTTCCCACAAGAAAATATTTGATTATATTTAGCCTCGCTAGTGTAATCAAGAAGGCGTGCCATAACTGTGAATAAATTTTACGCGATATTATTTTCAAATTTTTCTACTTTACATATTATTAAAGAGGTCAAATGGCTTTTGGTATATATGATTGTCAAAATGTCAGTGTAATTCCAGCCGTGCTAAAAGTAAAGAATGTGAAATGAATTTGTGCCCATACACATGAAATATAAACGAAGGTTACGAAGCATTATCTTTTCATCGCAAATTGTATTATGAAGTTAATGAAATAATTGTTAACAAGCATTTAAGCAACTGTTAAAACATGAAGAAATGGTATAGAAACAATGCAATGAAATTGCATAACGAAGTATATATCTACAAAGGTTTCATTACATTTGAACCCACGACAGTTGCACCTGCATACTATTGTACCTATGGAAATTCTTTTGGTATTACGGATATTTGAACCCATACTAACCCTAACCCATGGGTTTTAGCACCCTCATATAGATTAAACCCGCGGATTTACACATGGGTTCAAATGCACGTGGGTTCAAATGTACGGTCACCATCTACAAATTATAAAACCCTAAATTTGTAAATTAACAAAAAAGCCGGGTTTCTTCCATCCAGAAGTATTGAAAAATTGAAATTCATTGATTGCAACAACAATAATTCCGCCCTCAATAAATTTATAATTTGAGAAACTGAACTACTGTTAAAAACTATAAAAGTTAACTTTTTTTTCATTATTGTTCAAGTGCAGAAAAATATATTCTTCTAATGCTAATTCAACACACAAGGTTGAAATCATAAACCTATAGACATCTCGTATTGTCTTTCATTTCGACAGTCCATATTTATTGCGATAGTTTATGCTCTGTATACCCTGTTCATTTTGGTTAGGGTTTAGGTCATTTAAATAGACTAAATCGACTGTCTGAATGTGTTCTTTCTCTCCCTATCTCTCATATTTAGAACGGTCATTCCATTAGTAGGGTAACTTTCCGAAAAAACAACAACAACATAAGAACAACTCATTTTTCATAAGCTGTTTATTGTTAACTTTACCACTCTGAACAAGGCTCTGTATATGTAACCACTGACAGGACAGATGTTGAGAAAATGAGGTTTCAAAATACCAGGGGGTGCTGGTTTGAAATCACATTGGCTTCGGGGCCACGGTTTATTCAAACTCCAGCCGGGGACTTCTATTACCAACATGTATATAAGTATTCAATATCGTTTGATTTTTAGCGAGTCCCCTTCGATTGGCTGGAACAAAAGTTGTGATGACAGCAGGTGGATTTGTTCAAGTAAGATCGGATAAACCAATAACGAGGACAAATGAACCAGACAGAACATCTTATAACATTGCCAGACCAAAAGAGGTGAATTCTTTTATTATTAACTATTCAATTTTTTAAATTATGGTCCTATGGATATGAGCAGCGATGGCCAAAACTGGAATAATCACTATTCCGAAAACAGTGATACCTCTATATTCCAACGACTCCATATTCAGACAATCTGGTGATCGACCAAAATAGTAAAAAATGCTGCGGTACTCGAAAGAACATTTGGTGCCCGAATACCCGAGCATACCGTCGAGTGAGATGATGCACTCAAACTGCGAATTTCGGCTGCCTCTTTAGATTTTTAACAACATAATTTTTGAATATATTCAAATAATCGATTGATTTTTGACTTGGTATTTCTTTTCTTCTTGTTGTTGAATAAATCGTCTCTCTCTTTATTAAGTTCTGGACCAATTACTTCGAAATTTTTAGTGGGTGGTTAAAGACTATATTTTTTGCTAGAAGGGTATTTTATATATTTTAAAAATTTCTGTGCGAATCGTTTTTTGGGTTCAGTGGTGTCAAAATTGAAAATTGCACACTTTGTGATGATTCCTCATTCACGTTAGTGGTCAGGCGAAGTTGGAAGACTGTCGTTAGTCTACTTTTACAGACTGCATACTCGTACTACTTTATTTTGTTCTTCTTGTCCATATATTTGAGCATCGCTCTCTGTCAATTCAACTTTTCGAATTTTCCTTCAGTCTCAAAAGGTTGAAATAAAATGAATGTGAAATACAATTTGTGTGAAGAATTTTAAAACATTGAAATATTTGTATATCCCGACATATCTCTGGATAAATCAAACGGGTGGTCGAATTGAAAAGTATACTTGCCAGCAAAGTCTTTGTCTCTTTGTTATGTATTGTATTGTACTAATTGAAGATATCAGTTACATTTGAGGTTGTTGTCTTCTTTAAATCAGTGATATCATTTGTACACAAAATTTACATTGTCTTGATTCTTATGGAAGGACAAAGTTTTCATATGTGATACACCTTTCTCGCCTCAGTGTAGCCTCGATACTACGGTAAATGCTTCACGAATTATAAAATATCATTTTAGTTTTGAAATATCGCAATTTTTAATATGACTGAAAACTTCCTTGTGTATTTCCATGACAATGACCAATCAGCAATACGGTATTGATGATGTAACAATTGAAACCTGTGCAGCCAATCAAATATTTCTATTGCGCGCACAAGTTTTATCTGGTTGTTGATGCTCCAGTCCCCTCAGCCTTACCTTGATTATAACTTCATTAGACACGAATATGATATGGTTTATATTTTCAGATTTCAGTTTCTTCTCCGGTACATACAGATGATAATAACAATGATATGATAGATGGTGATGATGAGCTTCCTCCTCCTCCTACTCAGCAAGAATTAGAAGCTGCTCATTACGCTACCGTAGCACAAACAAATAACAGGCGAGTGGAAGTCGATTTAGAACACTTACGTTCTCTTAGGATAGGATTTACATATTTATCCCGGAGTAGTAGAAAGTCTTTAATACGGCTTAATCATATGGCGAACCACGGCTTCTCGTCCGGTTAACAGTCCATGTCCATATCAACATATTTAAGTCCAACGCTTCAATTGCCATACGATAGCGCCAGCTTTTTTTTTCCTACTTTGTATTAACCATTTTCTTTATTTAAACATATTATTTTTTTTATTTTAGGCGTTTGAGTCCATTGTCAGGATTAGTTGCCGCAGCTTCACAAAATTCGCATCACAGGTACAATGATGCCAACAGCGATAGCTTCGAACAAGGTAGAACAACTTTTCTCCCCTTTTTCCCTAAACAAGCAACAACTGATATATAAAACAATTAATATCTTTTGGAAGAATAATAATCTTTCTAATCTGCATTATTTGCTCAGATTAATAGTATCGGTAATAATATGAAGTGAAATTTACGGAGGATATACTGTCTTTTTTTTATTTTTTGTTCAAACATACAAACTACGGCCCATGACCCAAATTAGGCCCATTGGGTACTTCAATCTGGCTCGCCTGATGCTGCCACAACCAAAATAAAACCAAATTTTATGATAATTTAGCTAAAAAAATGCTCAATTTGTTGAAATTGTGATTAAATACAGTTTTGGCTTATTGTTTTCCGCTTTTGCTTTTGTAACATTGCGTAACTTTTAATGTCACACATACAAGGCTTATACATGGCAAAACTGTAATAATGTACTTGTTTGTCAATATTGTGTTAATGTATATCTAGGCAAGACTTGTTTGACTATGTAGACTCCTATTATAAATACCTTTGAGTGTGACCCATCTATCATATGTGATCAGTAATAATTCTCACTGATAATTAGGCTTGGGCCATGCTAGGGTTGATTGAATTGATGGGCAGTATTTTTGTTAGGGGTGTATTTCTGTAAACTAAGTAAGCTATTCGTTTTGTTGGATTGCAGGCCTTATAACAACTACTCAATTCTCTCACTCATGACTCTCTCTCAATTGTAGAATGGATCATTCTTTTTTTGATCTTTATTATTCCCCCTCCAAACAAGAAATATACTTCAATTGTTCTAAGCTAAGCTTCTAATTTTTAACCTGGTAAGTTTTAATAAAAACCAATGTGCCATAACTACTGCTAATATTACTTGGTAATATGTGTTAAAAAAAATGCAGTAAATTTATTTGCGAGTCATGAAGTGGACCTAGGGATGGATCATTTTGATAAATTTTCACTATTAAAAATTGATTTTCTTTGCTACTAATGGACCATTCTAATTTTCAAATTTTTATTACTTGAACATGAAATAAATGGCAAGAGGGCTATTATTTTATTTTATTCGTACATGACTCCATATTTCATCACAGTTTGGGCTGTTTTATTTTCATTATGAAAAGGAACACTTTCATATGTCATATGGGAACACTCTGAATGACATTCAACCTTCACATTGAGCATTGTTATTTATAGTAATCCAATAATAACACTCTTTTTTATCTGTTTGCAGCCAGTTCATTTGACAGCTATCGTGATACTGCATTATCGGAGGTTCACTCTGACGGAGTAAGTATTTACGGAATCTGTTTTTGGCATGTTATTATTGATGCTGAGGCTGGAGCTATATTTTCAAACTTGCTGGGGTTGAAACCATAGTCAAAATTTCCAATTCCTTAAAAATTAATATTGAAAATCTGAAATTCCGAAAAAAAAAACATAATTCCTGAGAGATACTCAAATTTATGGTAATTAAGTAGAGCAAGCATTTTGAATACAAAATGAAAACGGGACGCATATTTTCTCGAGAGATGATTTCGAAGTTTTGTCAACCTTGAGTCTTGAGTTGAAGTCATTTTTGAAATGGCTCGAAGATTGGAGTCCAAGTCAGATTTACATACCTCCGGTTTTTAATGTCATTTATTTTTCGTAGGAATTGATTTAATAAAATAATAATATTCATTATTCGAAATTTCTGAATGTGCAATATGACTTTATAAATAAACTGACAGGGATGTCCAATATTCAAATATATTCGATTTTCATTATATTCAATATAAAAAATATTTGAATTTGGGAATAATTTAGAATATTTTTATTTGAAAATTAGAGAACTGTAATCCGTCAGACTATCAGATCAAAACATACAATATCTCAACTGGTAACAAACAACACAGAGAAAACAATGACTTTTATATTTATGTAATTTATCACATCAGCTTGCCCCCAATTTAGAATGTATTCGATAGCCCATTCAAAAATATGTTTTCAGAATGTATTAGGATTAGTGAAATATTTGGTTTTGGTCATTTCTGTAAACTGCATTTCACTGTAAGCCTTTGTACATACATACTAAACCTTGTGGGTTACACATTCATCACATCTTCTGGTGTGGGACCTATAATCCCAGATCTGCAGGTGAAACTTATTCCACCAATACATCGGATATATAGTGTAAGAAAGCATCTTACTTTACTTATTCTTCTATCGTATAGCGGTGATTCTTTCTGATTTCAACTTTTGTCCCAATAGATTAATATTATTATTATGAATGTTCAACACAAATCGTTTTCTAAAATTTTTATATAAATTTGCAGGATGATATTGAAGGAGAAGAAGAATTAAGACAACAAGTTCTTGAAGCTCAAAAAGAATTAGATTTTGAACAAGTTGACCAGTATGATATTAGAAGAAGAGAAGACGAAAATCTATTGAGACTTGAGGTAATTTGCGAATTTTTTGAGAGAATTATGAATTATTCAAAATATGTAGTTTGGATAAGATTTTCATATTTCATTGTGCTAAGCGATAGGAATACGCTCGGAGTCACCCCTTTGATTATCCTGCGTGGGTTCGAATCTTGTGGGAGATGACTATGGGAGAGAGGATTGCTGGACTCCATGCCGCCAAAGTGTGGTTCACGTAACCTCTGGTCGATTATGGCTTCCTTCACCATCAAGTTCATGCATCTGAAACAACTAACTGGCTAATTAATTGCATACCCGACATGGACTGGTGATCGAACGAGAGGCCATGGTTCGTCATATTATTAGGCCGTGTTATCGGCTTTCCTCTCCCTCAGGATAAATATGTAAATCCTATCCTGTATTTATCTTAGAAGAGGAAAGGTGATAAGACATCTTAATGGTAAGACAAATTATTGTACGGTTGGTTGCCAATCAATGTCGAATATTCAAGTCGTCAACCAGGTATTTGTTTTAGATGCATGGACAGTAGGGGGAAGAAATTGTTATGTGAACCACTATACATTGACGAGAAGTCCAGCAATTCTCTCGCACATAATTATCCCCTGCGGATGTCTTCTATGCTCGCTCAGTTTGATGCTCTGACATTCGAATTGTGTAAAAAGAATTTTACTATTTGAAAATGATGTAAAATATGGGTTGTGGTTTTTTTAATTTGTCATTTAACGATGAATTGAAATACTTAGCATGGAATGTTTATTAAAACTGCTCAATATTGAACTACCGATAATATTTCTGCTTTATGGACATTTGCATTATCGTGGGCTATTTCTGAATAAGTTTTATTTTATTGTACAAAATACATTTTTGGATTTTAGCTACAAGAAGAACAAAGAAAGTTGGAAATGGAAGAAGCCCAAAGAGAAGAAATTAGGAGGAAGATGCAGGAGGAAGCAAAATTAGAAGATTTAAGAGTAGAAGAGGAATTAAGGTTCAGTTGTTTTTCCTACCTCTGAGTTCTTCTCGCTTAAAAATGACCAGGGTCCGGTCATTCCAAGAATTTATTTCAACTATGCAAACAAAATTCGAAATTCATCGTTTGACAAAATACAAGAACAATACTTAATAATATCCTGTTTCGCAGCCGATATGACAGAATTCAGTTGTGTAGGCGAGCGAATAAGATATTGTAAAATATTTGCCCCTGTGAAATATATATAGGCTAATTAAAGTCTTCCAGCGACTTGCAGCTGCTGTCTAAATTAGCACTCAGAATGTCTGGATTCAGAACGCTGTCCGCTAGTTGAGTAACCCTGCCATATGGCACACTTTATAGCCTTTTTTTTCAAAGATTGATCTACCGCCTTATCAACAGGAGCGCCTTATGTATGGATCGCTTATTGCCTTATGCTTTATTGCCACTCTCTAAATCAGTGCCGGTATTACTTCAAAAATCATTGCGCCTTATAGTCCCATGTGTCTTATGTATGAAAAAAAACAATGTATGCAATTTACTAGTGTGTCGTCATTCCTCAGATATTTCACAAATTAGGCAATTTTCGTAAGAAAAATATTGTTTTCAAATTTCCTTCTACGCTAAATTCTACGGCCCTCACAAACAGAATTATGTTTAATGGAATCCGTTTATCCAGACAGCGATGACGGATCACATAATACTGTATAAATATCATATAAAAAGCAGGCTATGGTTGCTCTTTACTTACTCCATCATCAACGGAATATCATCCAAACAATGTCATCAAAAATTCCTTTTGAAATTGATAATCAGTGCCGGCAAGCTTCGCTCTGATGCACAACAATAATGTGTGATGATAGCAGACAATAGGTTACGTAGGAATGGCATCTATCATTAAAAATAACAACTGATGTGTGCGGTTGGGAATTGGGGATTTGAGATTTAATTTTGTTACTATCTCGATGAAATGAATAATGTTTTTTCAACCCACTACACTTTACTATTGCAAAATTTTTAATGCCTATTTTGATTGTTTTTGAAAGTTTAAGATTGTAAACGGGTATACTTCTTCAAATGTACAATTATGTTTAAGAAACTCTTGTGGAAAAGTACGGGCAGATAATTTTAGCATAGTCTATCCCAGGTTTTCCAGGATGCTTTTTAAGTTAACACAACTAAACAGAAAATATTGAAGACTAAATGGCCACTTATTATTTGATTTATATCTATATTTACAATATATAACTAAAATCTGTAAAATGACAGTCAAAACCACAGTAGCGAGTCAATAGTTACAACGTTGATTGAAAACGTTGAGCCACTGTTGAAATCCCCATTGTTGTGTTATCGCTGATTGGCCATTATTACAGGAACGAACAAGGCAATCAAATGTCATCAGTTATTAGAATTATTTTTATTGGACATATTATTCAAATACTTTACTATTGAATCAATCTGAATGGAGTAGTGGTTTCACTTCTCTAGAAGTAAACTTGATAAAAGATATTAAATAAAATATCTCATCCAATGGAGTATTTTCACCCGTTACCATCAGCTTCCTGGCAATGGAATTTGATCTGCCAATTCAAATCACCTGTTTGAAATAGTAGTCGTTAGTAGCCTATCTGATGTTAAATTTTTTTTCTTGACCCTGTGTTTTCTAACTTATACTTATAGTCTTATACCAATCTCTATTTCAGAAAAATACAAGCTCGAAGAGTGAAACAACAAGAACAACGTAGAAATAACATGCAGAGTTACCAAGATCGACCCTCTGGGTAAATAATCATAGATATGCTTATAACTTCGACTCTTTGATTGCCAGTTTCATTTGAATACATGACCAAATGTGGCTTTTGATCAAACAGCAGATCACAATTCCTTCTGTTGAATAATGAATGTTATCCTGCTGTCACTACACTATTATCTTAAGATAGGGTTTACATATTTATCCTGGGGAGATGAAAGCCAATAAGCCGACTTAATCAAATGGCAAAGCATGGTCACTTGTCCGGCTACCAGTCCATGCCGCCGTCGGATATGGGATTATTTGTTTCAGATGCATGGACTTGATGGTGGAGGAAGCCGTAACCAACCGACTAACGGTTACGTGAACAACCCTACAGCAGGGTGGAGTCCAGCAATCCCCTCATATAAATATCACATAAAAAACCCCACTGGATTCAAACTCGCGAACCCCTCGCAGGATAATCAGAGATGCGATAGCAGGCGTATTCTCAACGCTAAGCTTTCCTGTCTCTATCCTATTTTTACTGACATGGGATCCACCAACCTAGTTATCCATAGTTTCAGTTATGAGTGGCATTTCAGTAGTCGTACATAACTTTGCTTAAGGATCAGTCTTTTTACTTCTGTATGAGGGTGTGCATATTATTTTGCTGACCGATCTTAGCAAAAAAAATAACATCAATAGGACAGTTTTTCTGTGCCACAATATGTCAAGTAATAGCCTTAGATTGAATTATGAAGAAATTGGATTTGCAGGACGCAAAGCTCTCTTCCTACTGCCCCGCCTCAAGCATCCCGGACTAATGGATTAGGTATGATGGGATCTTAGGCGGAGGACAACACTGGATGGTTGAAGAAGCAGAACGTAGGAGAGTTGCTGAGAAGGAAGGAAAACCGAGAGCTAACGCATTACATTATGGAAAAAAATCGGTTCGTTGAACTAGGGATTTTCACTCTGTATTGCAAAAAATTACAATAAATTTTCCTTTGTGTTATGTTTATTGGACACGCAGTGTACAATCATGGTTATTTTGTTTTTATATTATTTGATGACATCATCAAAAATGAAATTGTGGTACGGGTAGTGTGACAGTTGGCATACCGGTACTGCTTCGCTTATCCTTCCATATATTTGCTCTCATGTTTCAATCCTGTATGGATTCGTGTTTTATCAGTTATAATAATCTTTCAATCGAAAACTGATGTGTGGAAGATTTTAGTACAATTTTTTATACTTTATTACTATTTTATTTTCAGGACTCTCGATCTGGTTCTGGTCTACCAGATCATGTGATCCAACGCCTCACTAATCGAGCTTCAGCAAAATCAACCGGACCGCGACCATTTGTAAAGGAGCCATTTTGGAATGATCCAAACGCAAAGGCAACATTGCTTTAGATCCCATTTTTTGGAATTTATTATTTTTCATTCTGTTTTTTTTTTTTGCATTTTCTTTTCAATTTTCAATTATTGATAATTTGTTAAAATAAAAAATGAACTCTTTTATTAAAAGAGCGGCAAATGTCGCAACTCAACAAATACCTATGATGATTACTTGCCTTCGAATCCCTATGTACAAACATAGTTATAAATAATACATACCTATTTTTTAATCCAGTTCACATGATTTCGATAGGGGGAGGGAGATTGATAATTGAAAATTTGTAATATAATGTTATAATTTGTGTTTCACACAATGTAAAGAATTCTATTGTGACATCACATTAGCTTTCTGAAAAATATAATGATGTCATAATAAAATTTGAAAATATTTCATAAAATACAAGATTGAAAGGTACGTAGGATCATCACATAAATATATTCAATAAAAAACTCGAATTAAAAACAAGTTGAGAAGCTCAAATCTATAATACAACGAAGACTTTCATGGTGATGATGAGAATCAAAATTTTTGACAGAAAGCCATGACTTGACTGATCATATTTAGGAGAAATAAAAAAAGGCTCGCATGCGACACACGTTTTGGTTGTCAAAATTTGATTTTTATGAAGTTTTTAAAGTCGCGAGCCAAAATTTCCTTCAATATGGAGTTGGGGCCAGGGTTTAGTTCGTGTCTGGACCCGTGGGGCGTGGGGTTCTTGGACTTTACAGCCGCTTTTTGGCATTATCAGCAATTGTTTTCTTTTTGAGTTAACTTTATACCTAGCGTTAATTTTCTTAGTGAGTTGCTTATTTACTTTATTATTAGTAAAATCTCACAATGTTGAAATTGAAATGAAAAGTGAAATTTGATTGTCTTAAATTTCGGAATGAAGAAGAATTTTTGTACATAATTGGATTATAATTTTATTTATTTTCAATTATCTGCTGTATAATTTTTTACAACGAAATGTATAATAATGTATATTATTACCAAGCTTTTCTACATGACCTAATGGTACTATACCTACCCTACTTTTTCATATTTTGCTCTTTTTTTTAGTTTGTCTTATTTTCTTCCTTACGAAAATATTTGAAATCAGGATTAGATAGGTTTGGTAAAATAACTGGTTTAATATAAAAAAAAAATTGACAAATTAGCTTTTTTGTGGTTTTTAACTGAGCGTATACTGCTTAAAAGCGTTGCTATGTTTCATTATAGTTACTGAAACATGAAATATCTGGATTCATTTAAAATTAAATATAATAAATGTCCTTAACTGGAACTATTTTTAATAACCAAGCGGACTGATAAACATATAAATTTGTCCAAATGATTAAAAAAAGTTTGAGAAACTTTTTCAAAACTTCCTATTCAAACTAAAGAAGGGTGCTTCCTAACTAATATAGATATATTCTTGACTTTCGACACACTTACACCCAATGCTTACACAATCGTGTATTCTAAGTATATAATATGGGCCACAACCCATCTCATTTATCTACGGTGAGATGGAAGATTTATTCTCCATTTTATATTCTAACCAGTTTTTTGTGCTCAATTTTATTTACATTTCGCTTGATTTGATCTTTCTGCTTTAACACTAACTATAACATTGTGTTAAAACTAATTAAAAATCCATTGTTTATGTTTCGAGCAATTTTGTACTTAATATTCTAACGACTGTGATTGTTGACTATTCACTATATTACCAATGTTAATTACCTTTCGCTTATTATTTTAAATTTCACTTTTGGCAGAACATTTCTGTATAGAAAGATCATTTCTGCAAATCATTCCTAGACTTATATCCTATGGTGCTAATATACCTAAAGTTTTATCCTCCTATTTATGGTACTACTGATTATGACAAGATTTCTTATATTCATCTCTTCAGCATGATTCCCTAAACGAATTTATATTATGATTTGCTGTATTCAATCCCCATTAATATGGGAAGTTCATTGCCCAAATATTGTTGGACTTGCCAGTAAAAAAGTCGTGGGTTCAAATCCCACGCTAATCATCCACCCATGCAATAAATTGGGTGAGCAATGTCACATCGAAAAGTTTTCAAACCATCATTCCGAACTATTTTAAGCTCCTACTAACAGTGAATCTTGTGCCTTGAAATGTGCATTTAATGTATAGAAAATGACAACAAGAATTCTCTATTTTAAAATTTGAGCTGTCTTTGTTGTCTGATTATCCCTTAAACCATATCGCAGGAGCTTTTGAAATCATTTCACATTATAGCAGGATGTAGCCTTGGACATTAAGTAGGAAAATATGTTTTGGAGTAGTTTTTTATAAATTTCTCTATATTAGAAATTATGCGATATCAAATATTTTGAATCCATTTTAACAGGCTATTAACATATCATAATGATTCATAAGTACTACAAAAAACTATAAAAATAGATTTTACTGCTTCATGACTTTTTTCTGATGTTATCAAATTTCACTCTAAAATATTTCCCGGTTTATAATGGGGAAAACATGTATCCATGCTTTTCACTATGAGTAGATTTTTCCTTGTTTGAAATTTCAAAATTTTTATGGGATGCAAAATTCAATCTATTTTTCAAATTCTGAAGTAACTTCTTGTTATGGAGCCAAATTAATGCTACATCATTGTGAAGATCATTTTGTTTCATTTTTAGTCAAGAGTCCAACATTATGTTTTTTTTTAGAAAAAAATTCAATTTAGTGCCAGATGTATTACATTTTAGTCAACTTTCAAATATTATCAAACTGGGAAAAAATTCATTTTTTTTGTTCAGATTTTTAATACTTTCATGCTGTCTTTTCATTGATACTTTGATCAAAATTTGGTGCCCAATCTCGACTGGTTACACATGGCCAAATTAATATTATATTAATGAATGCGTGATTCATATGTGCAGTCAAACGTGACTCTTATATGAACCACGCCAGTTGACACGTTTCAAAAAGGGCTGTGCTTCATATAAAGCACAGTGTGCCAAAATTTCGTGACCAACGGTTGTCCTAAATCCACACTTTGTCCGCCCGTGGGACAATGGGAATAAGTGTTGGACACAATATTCTTGACTCTTGTATAACCATATTTTGACTGGTAAGAGGCGTCAATTTGCAAAAAAAATTGTAAATTAAAGTAGCGCTTTTTTTTGTATAGCTTTTTGATCCGATCTTAGATGGCATTAAAGTCTGCAACCTGCCATTACTGCGGTTCATAAAGTGAAGGTGAAATACTCATTTTATGTGCCACAGTATGGTAAGGGAGTATGCCAAGGATGTGATCTAAGGTCGGTTTAGCATGTAGTTTATATCGCCTTGTCTGCCCCAGTGTTCGTATACTTTCCCCGGCATTATGTTATACCTTCTTAAACTACAAAAGTGTAATATGGTATGTTGCTTCTGCAATTGAATTGAATAAACGGTAAAGAGGGGCCGCATCTAGATAGATTTGTATAGGTGTGGAATGAAGAGTGAAATGACTGGAAGCTTCAACAAGATTATCATTCGTTATATGGCGAATTTCATTGCTCAGAACATCAACTTCCTTGTTTACTTACCGTAACATTGGCTAATCAAAAATAGTTGGAGGTGCAGTAACAATTAAAACCCGCTCAGACTTTTAGCGTTCGGGCGAGTTTCCAATTAGCGTTAATTAAATAACCTAGCGCTCTTTCTGTTCTGGAGAGTTTCAGTTATTAAAAACTACTTGCAAAAAGCTGGTATGCCCGTGCTAACAATTTGCTGTAGGTAATTTTTACTAGAAAGTGGTTGAATATTTCGAATCGAAATGTTAGTTTCGAACATGTAAACCAGTGACAATGAAGAAAACACCTGCAATGGCAAAATATAAAGATTTTTTTGAAAGTCGAAGGTCCGAAATGCCCGACATAACTGGATACATGCTTGCATGTTCTAAGGTTATTGACCTTGTTGCTTCATTACACTGAAACGTAAATACCGAAATTGCCCATCCTACGATACGTGATAGTGTTAAACAACGAGGAAAGGGCGAACGCGGGGGTTGAGTTTTGACATTTGTCGAGAAGTATATTTATATACATCATAAGCACAATTTTTGCGGCGCTTCAAGGTTATTGATATTCACACTGTTGACGCCTGCGCCCCACATTTACTTCCTCCAAATTAGGATATTATTTTTTCTCTGGGAACTTTTAAATTATATTTAATGCTAGCATATAAGCATTACTGCGTCTTACTAATGTAGGCCTACTCCAATCTAGATTACTAATGGTATCGAAGCAAGGCTGGTATCCACGAAACTCTTAGAAAAAATACACGGAAGCGTAAGCAACTACCTTTGATTTCGGTGAATATTACGACAATTTGATTCCTATGAGATGTGTGAAATGAGCTGAATTTCCGTTCACAGAATTGTCCACTTTTTACGACCTACATTGTCTCTAACTCATGTCATCAAATGTTTTGTA